GTAAGTGTTAGACCCAAGCCAGGTCGTGTTGTTGATTAGAGTACCCTAAGGCTCCATGTACCCATATTCATAGGGATCCTTAGGGGTGTAGGGGGGAGGGGTGTAGGGGACTATATTTCCTTAAATAGGCCTAATTAGTCCTTGTTATGGGCCTTAAGGCCCCCTACCCCCCGCTCCCCCTACACCCCTAAGGATCCCTATGACATATACTATATACTTAGGCCTTAAAGTACCTATATAGGGACCCCTTTAAGGCTTAAGTATCTACTATAGAGGTACGTGGAGCCTCTGGAGTCAACCCTCGCTCCAGGGCTTTCTCAGCCTTTTGACTGACGGGTTTTGTGTGGTTCTGGCTGCCGGTGGTCTGCCTAGAGGCACCATAGTAGTTTTTTTTGGGGATTATACCCTATAGGATTCTATATATGCCAAAAGAGGAACTACTTTGGGGCCTTTGGGTAGGGTGCTCAGGATTCCAGAATTTAGGGTCTTATGGCTTCGGGTTCAGGGCCCGAAGATTCTGGGGCTTTTAGGATTGTGGGGTTCCGGGCCTTCGCGGTAGGGCTGTAGGGTTCGATTTGAAGTGATTTTAACGTTTCACGATCCGAGATCGCAAAGAGACGCTTGATCGCACCAGCCTACATCAACCGGTTTAGGGAGTCTTATGCGGGAGAATTACAGTTTAGGGAGTCTTATGCGGGATACTTACTTCGCCAAATCATAATATGAATTCCAAATATAGAAACCCTACATTCTACTATACAGGTACTCTGAACCATCAGAGTGGTAGAAGCTTTCGATTATCATATGGTAAGATAAGATACAGACATGTGTATATATGCTTTATGTATATTTTTGTAGTTCACCCACAAAATCCTATTTCCACCTAGAATTATTAGATCACTTTTAACGAGGGGGTCAGATCTGCAAAGCCATTGGGGTGTATGGACCAAACTCGCCAGAAATTGGCCCCTAAGAATCATAAGCTCCGTACCCTAAAGCCTAAACCCTAAACCCAAACTCCCTAAGCCCTTGTAAATCCCTTTAAGGGAACCTTCTTCTGATAGAACTTTAAAGCCCTTTATAAAGAGACCCACAAACCCCGACCTCCGAAGGGCCCAAGACCCGAATTCTCCGTTCCCAGGTCGGAGCTGTTCGCAACCCCGGTGACCTTGAAGCTGCCCAACCGCTGTGGGGAAGCCTAGTAATGGTTAGGGTTTCGTGATTCTAAACACTGTATGATCCCAAGATTATTGGTTTGTTTCTTTTCGTTTCCGGTTTTGGGTTTAGGATCGTAAGGGTCCATATATATATATATATATATATATAACAATGATGCAACTAGGTCCCAAAAGGGCATCCTTATCATGGTTTTGGGGGCCTAATTCCATAATTGTACTGTTATATGAAGCCTCTTGGCTATAGACCCTATATACACCCTAAGCCCCTAAACCCTAAACCCCTAAACCCCTAAACCCTCAACCGTAATCTCGAGGTTAACCTTTAGGTTCTAAGCAACTGGAGGTACTGTGCCATTAGTCCTGTTGCCTGGGCTTAGTAGGCTTTAGCAGCAGTAGTAGTAGCAGTAGTAGTAGTAGTCGTAGTAGTCGTAGTAGTAGTAGTAGTAGTAGTAGTAGTAGTAGTAGCAGTAGTAGTAGTAGTCGTCGTCGTCGTAGTAGTAGTAGTCGTGGTGGTAGTAGTAGTCGTCGTCGTCGTTGTAGTCGTCGTAGTAGTCGTAGTCGTAGTACTAGTAGTAGTAGTCGTCGTCGTTGTAGTCGTCGTAGTAGTCGTAGTCGTAGTACTAGTAGTAGTAGTAGTAGTCGTCGTAGTAGTAGTGGTAGAGGAGTAGACACTATAAACCCATAGATCATACTCCCAAAGGTTGAGCTTTAGAGTCTGCTGAACTGGACAAGTACATAAGTTAGGAGTCTGGGTTATAGGTTGTTTTGGATTTTGGTTGAGGTTCTAGGCGATAGAGGCCACACTTGGCGTGCCAGGTTCTCCAGTAATATCTGTATTCTGGAGAACCTAGCATGCCAACCTCCCCCTAAATCCCCAAGCCCTGTAGATCCCTTATAGAGCCCTTATGGATGCTTTTTAAAGGAGCCCCCAGAGATCCCTTTGAGGAGCCTTGAATGTCATCCTTTCAAAAGGAGGGCTGCTGAGTCACCTGTGACAGGTGACCTGTGTTCTAACAGCTCCCCCTCCCCCCATTTTCGACTGCAGGCTCCTCTGTGCCATGGTTGCGGTGAGTAATGTAGGGGCCTAATTAGTTACCTATACCACTTTGTTTTTTTTTTGGGGGGGGTTCCTTATTGTAGCTACAGTATAATGGGCGACCAAAACCCTATGCTAATTATTACAAGGCGCCTCTGTTAAGGTATCTTTTGGGGTTTGGGGGCCCCAGAGTTCCGGGCTCATTTTTTGCTCTCAGGCAACTGTCGCCTCATTTCCCTGTTTTCCAGGATCTCTCTGACATGTGACATCAGAAAGTCGTGGCTTCTACTGGTCCCTATGGGTCCCAGTGCGCAAGCTCTACGGATTCCGAGCAAACAAGCTATCAAATACCATGGTTTTAGGGTCTCAGCAACTATCCCGGTACCTAGACCCGTAATATGTGAGTTCTTCGACCCCGAAATCAGGCCGAGGGAGTTCTGGATTTTGGTATCTGGCAGCACAGGAGCAAATGGAAGATCCTGTAAAGCCCTCACACCTAGTCCAAAAACCCGAACAGGAGCCCTTCAAAGGAACCGGTATAGTAATAGTAGCCTTATAGCAACCCTTTAAAGGAACCCTAAATATATATATATATATATACACACACACACATATATATGGAACCGAATCTGCAGCGCGTCAGCCCGAAGCCCGGCATCGTGAGGTCCGACCTCCAAGCTGTATTTGACGGTCTGGATGACGGTGCTACCCCTCCCGGCTGAGAATTTTTGAGTTTTGAGGGTTTGGGTTGTGTTTTCCGATTGGGGTTGTAAACGTTCACGTGTTTTTAGGTTTTAGAGTTCCAGGTTTTGGATTCAGAGAGGTCTGGGATTTGATGCTGTTTTCTCGTAGGGGGCTCCAAAGCCTGTCTGCTTTGGAAGGATAGAGCTCTTCGCAGCAAGATTCGCAATGATTATTATGCGCTGCAATAGAAATAAGAGTGGCAGAGTAGCAGGCGGCAGCAACAGCAGCATCAACAGCAACCACGGGTCTAGGGTTTAGGGTTTAGGGTTTGGGCCAAAACCACAACCTCAACAGCAACAGCAACACCAAGACCAAGGCCAACCCCAGCACCACCAACAACAACCTTCGCAGCAACAGAAACAGCAACAACATCAACAAAAGCACGAGCCGCAACAACAGCGGCAGTTGCTTCAACACTAACAAAATCACAATACCAGTGCTACTATCACGGATAGTAAGGTTGATAATATCAACAGGATCAAAAGGGCCAAGTAAAGGATGCTTGGAGAGCTGCTCTAGTCCACTTCAGCCGCTTGCTGGTTCTAGTGCCGTCTCGCGGTTGAGCCTGGCTCTGCGGAGTGGCGAGCATGGCTGCTTGGCGGTAACTGAGGCCTAGAGTAGGGTTCTTATAACGGGGACTACAAGAGCTACTATAAGGGTCTATAAGGGTACTATAATATAGGGGCTTTCAATAATTAGACTAGAGGTCGTGGGACAAGTACCAAGACCCGAAACCCCGCGCTCATCCGCAATGTCCTTGAAGCCCTAACCCCGAAATTCCATGCGGCTATGTAGGTGGGGTCCACAGTACCTTACGTCTTTTGATTCACCCCAATGGGGATGGTTGGCGATGTGCTGATTGTGCTGTGGCACTCCCAGCACTTACAGCAGCTGTTCGCCATGAGTGCGCCAGCGCTTGCAAGCAAGCTTCCGCAAACGCCCGGGCAGTGATCAACCCGCGCCTACGTCCAAAGTCCGTCGTCTCGGAATGCTGCGTAGACAAGATGTCCAACGTTTGGCTCACATGTATTGCCTGCCGCGCCAGCCTGCGGCTGCTGGCAACCTCGCCGTGGGTGACTTTTTGAACAGTGGCCTGGAGACAAGCAGCTTTTTGGGTGCATCTGGCGTCTATGGGTCAGTGCATGCCATGAACTCCCAGCGCCGACCAAATTCAAAGCAAGCCAAGCAAGCTTGCGCATTGCACCCCCTTTTGGGCGACGGTTGCTGGCGACAGGCCTAGATCTGAACCTTGGGGTTTATGTTCCCTAAACCCTAAACCCCTGAACCCTGAAGCCCTAAACCCTAAAACCCGTAAACCCCAAACCTCCCTAAACCCCTAGATTCGACCCCCAAGCCCAAGCTACTTTCGGGCTTTTGTCTCGAAAAGAGGTGCTCCCCTCGCAACAGATTTGGGGGTTTCCGAAATTTGGGGGGTTTCCTTCAGGTTCCTTAAAGGGCTACTAGAAGGGTACTATAAGGGTGGTTCTTGTAAAGGTTTCGACAAGGGTTAGGGGTTTCCGAAAATTGGGGGGTACCTTATTTTGGGAGTCCTTCTACTAAGGATCCTAGTATTCAGGGTGCTATGTTAGGATCCCCTATTTTCGGAAACCCTCCATTTTCCACAGGCCGGGCAGAGCTTCGGAGAGCCTCTGAAAACGCTTCGTAACATGGAGGTGGGAAGTATCTGTAACAGTATCCCCTCATAGTCGTTCTTAGAGTGCTATGCTAGACTATCCCCTGTAAAAAATCCATCCTGACAATTATTGCGCGTCTGGTAAGCATCTCGTGAGACAAAACTTCGGAGACTAGAGCCTTCAAAACACTTGGACCCATTTCAATGGAGCCCTTCGAAACCCTTCTGGAACGTTTCATTTCTGCAACCCTTATAGCACTTTTATAGAAGCATTACAGCGATTTGGGGCTTATAGAACCATCCGCTCATGGAAGCCTGATAGGCCTTAATCCCTGAACCCTAGGCCGTAGGCCCCTAAACACACGAACACCTCCACCCTAAACTCATAAACCGCCAAACCCGAAACCCAACCCGAAACCCTCGAGCCAGACAAGTCCCTCCAATCACTAGTTACCCTGACGCCTCAGCTGTGTGTCGCTCAGGCAGTCTTTGCCAACGCCGGCATCATGATCAAGGTCCTTTTCTGAAGTGTACGGAATCTAGAGGTAGGGTTTAGGATTTAAGCTTTCAGATCAGGTTATTCTTGTGAATTGTGGCTTTAAGGTCTTAGTTTCTGGTGGGTTGAAGCAATCAAGCCCTAAACCCAAAAGAAGATCAGCACGGAGGTTCTTTGCACTCGTGTCCAGAATTGATTGCTATGAAGCCGTAAGGCCGACACTTACTCAAGCCCAAACCCTCAACCCTAATGAAACCTTCTCGGTATCAAGCTTGAAGACTTCATCAATTATCAACACCTGGCAATACCCTGTGAAACACTAGAATCACCACAAGTTTTAGTTACTAAGCAAACAGTTTAAGCCTTGTCTTGGAGGTGCTGGAGCCACGCAAGGGCGACAAGCCTGCTCAAGGCCGGTAAAGGGGGCGCTTCTCTAATTTAGGGCCTCTAGGGTCCATTCATTAAAAGGTCCCCGACAAAAGTACGGTAAACTAGGGTTTCTCAAAAGGTTCCCCAACAAAGTACGACACCCTTATACAGATATTTCTGAAAGGGACCCGTTTTTGGAGTCCTAGCTTGTTATAAGACTTCGATGGGGGCCCAGTTTTTCTGTACAAGGTTTTGAATTAAATCTGAAAGCTTGTATATATTGGGGTCTTAGGCAGTGTTTAGGGTCATAGGGGTTTGTGGTTAGCCCGACACCCAACGCCCCACAACCCGAAGCCCAAATTATAGGGCTGTGGGGCAGGGTTTGCCTCCATCGCAGTCTTGCAGTAGCACACCTCTAGTCTCCATTCTGGTTCCTTTCTTTGGCTAACCTTTATTATATTCGGAACTACAATGGAGACTACAGGTAGGCTCCTGAATATTTCGTAGTAGTATTCTTCCTTGCAGTCCACTTTTCTATGTTACATTCTACAATCCCCAAAGACCCGAGCCTAATCCAGTGTTCGGGCCCCTGCGCTATGTGTCTTTCGTTGTTCTTGCTACACCTCGATCGGTTTGGAAAGGCTCATACCCAAAGGCGCCTCGGTAGTGTTACGGGGGATACTTCCCCAAATCATATAAATAGCACCTAGTATAGAAACCCTACATTCTTCGATATAGGTACTTTGGATCCTTTGGCGTTGCTTTCACACCTTAACACACGCGCAGGGGCGTCGAGCTTTCGGCTGAGACCTAAGTTCCACAAATTAGTCCGCAAAACTTCAACCCGAAGCCCACAATCCTAAGCCCCGAACAGACTCCATGGGAGGGGAGGGGTGTGAGGGGAGGGGGGGGGGGGGGGGGGGGGGGGGGGGGGCGAGGAGAGACTCCCAAACTTGCGAAATGCATTCGCAAACCGAAGACGCTGGACCCTAAGCCATTAAAGGGCACGGGATAACAGCTCTAAACCAAACCTCAGTAGAAGAGTAAGTAGCTCTGCTGTAGCATTGGGCGGTGGTGGAACCCATACGTACTCCCGAGGGTCGGCAGTTCAGCTTTCTGGCTGAAGTTTGGAGGACCCTCGACCGTTTATGAAAAGACCGAAAGGTCCGAACCGAGACTCTCAATAGTAAGAGCAGGAGTGATCGTAGCAACATTTATACGAATTCTATTGTTTTAATACTAGTAACAGTACTCAAAGCCATGATAAATGTCCTAGTTATAGCAGGGCTAATCCCGATGGCCAAGAAAGACCCAGGAGCCCGACACACAAAACCCCGGCAGCCAGCGCGGTATTTGCTCTCTTGGGATGAACACGCAGCAATATGTATGGTATACTATAGTATATTTTCACCTGTCACAGTATACATGTTAGTGCATTTTAGTATGTCTGCTCGTGTACTATAGTCTACTAATTACCAGGTTACGGTGGTATGCTATAGCCTCTAGGTTGCATGTCGGATTATGTAATTTGCGGTTCATTTTGGGGGTGTAAGGTTCTAGCATAAATCCACCTAAACCCTGAACCCTCCCCCCCCCGGTTTAGCGGTTTAGGGTTTAGGGTTCCTAAACCCTAAACTCTAAGTCCTGAACCCTGCCTCCTCCTCGAACACGAAAACTGATGCGCCAGGTGGCGACTACTACTGGGGTCTCGTGGACGAAGCAGCCCCGAAGGAGACTCCGGCGTCATCTGCATCCGTGTTTTGGGGTCCTTGTAACACCCAGCAATATGTATGGAATATCGTAGCAAATTTGTACATATTATAGTATGGTTTTTGCAATTTGTGGTATATTTGTTCGTGCATGACAAGCTGTTCGGAAGGGGAAGGGGGGTTGGGCAGAGGCTGTATTGCAATAGGGGCACGGGTGGGCGAGCGGCGGGGGATGAGGGGGCGTGCTGAGGGTCTCTTGGACTTGGATCAATGAGCAGCTTAAGAACTTGACGACTGAATCTAAAGAAGGCAAAAGGACGAACTATAGTAGTTGTTGAGGGTGTCCCGAGTTCAAAGGCAATGTCTAGGGTTTGGTAGAGTGCTATTGTCTGTGTGTGCATGAGTTGTTGTTAACTACTAATATTTCTGAGTCGCTTTCAGCCCGTATGTGACAGCAGTCTCTATTGAATATGCCCTAAACCCTAAACCCTAAACCCTAAACCCTCTCCTGCTTCTTGAAGACCTCAACTCTTAGGGTAAAAGGAGGGACCCCTACCCCCAGGTATTTACCCATAATATAGCCATTATATACCCACTATATAGCCCATTATAGGGTAGGGGTCCCCATTAAGGGTCCCTCCTTTTCCCCTTTGATCAACTCAAAACCCTAAAACTTCCCAGACCTTCCAAAATCCCTTAATTAAGGAATATACCTTAAATTATAATAGGATCCCTAATATGATTTAAGGTATATTCCTTAATTAGGGGATCTTGGAAGGTCTGGGTTGTAAGCACTTGACCCTAAAGCATTGACCGACCCCGGCCCCCTAGAGCCTTGTTTCTTTACAGGACATCTTAGAAGGGGCCCCCCCACCCTGTAATAGTGGTATAATAGGAATATAACTGGGCCCTAATATAGTATTAGTATCATCCTTACATATATAATCACTATTACAGGGGGGTGGGGGCAGCTTCATGAGGAGCGCTAGAAAGACAAATTTGTGGCGTTCAGGTCAAGCTGAAAGCCCACGAAGCCCTCAACCCTAAGTCCCAACCCGAAAACACCCCTAAGACCAGAAGCCACGGTTTAGCGTTTAAAAACCCTAAACCGACCCTTAACCTTACACCCGAAACCCTAAGGCCCTAAAGCCCTGAACCCTTAAACCCCCAACCCCAGCCCCGAAACCCGAAAGTGTTGATCCTTGCAATCCTTGAGCCGCAATCTCCTGAAGGATCTCTTCCGGATAGCGGTCACTGGCAACATGAAGGTCAAAGAGCTGAAGGACAAGATTGCGAAGGAGCCTTTTTGGGTGTTCTTTCTTTGGAGGTTTAGGGGACCAGGGATGAGGGGTTGAGGGATTCAGAATATGAGAGATTGCAAACGGCACTAGTGCTCCTACAAGACAAAACCACAGCATGTGCATCATCTTCGGACAAAACATCGCGGGCCATGACAGATGCAAAGACTGCGCCCCACCCTCTTTCGCAACACCTGAATATCCGTAAATCGGAAAGCCCACCCCCCAAAGCCGGCATTGCAACCTCAAAGGCAAGGACCCAGGGATGTGGCAAGTAGTGGTTTAAGTCCCTTCGTTTGCGGCTATAAGTACCTAGAGCTATAGTTGCTTTCTTTAGAAGCCTAGTTACGAAGTCCCATGGCCCGTTAAGTAGGGGAGTTTTATTTACGTTTGGGCGAAGAAGAGAAGTTTGAAGTTTTCTTGGGCCCGTTGCGGGCACACCTTATTGCGGCGATGCTGAGGATAAAGGCCAACGTCCCGACGGTGGTCGGATTTCGGGCTGTCTTGTAGATTTTTCATGAGGCACATATGGGTGGTTGTCAAAATGATGGTCCCTTTTTGGGTACCCTAAATATAGTATGTGCCGTACTATATTAGGGACCCAAAGAGGGACCATCATTTATTGACAACCACCCATATGGAGCCCTTTAGGGTTTAACTGGCGCTAGGGAGGTTCTGTTTGCATGGGAGCTTCCCTTCAAGTGTGAGATCTTCTAAAAACGGGATGCCCGGGAGAGCTGTGGGGTTGGAGTTTGGGATTTCAGGTGGAGGGTTGTTTCTGTATCGTGTCTCAGTTTTTGCTTTAGGTTTCAAGGTTTAGGCCCAGAAATTCGGGTGTGCATTGTGTCATGGAGATGACTTGGGGTAGAGTAAAGCGCGACCACGAAATTTCGTAAGAAAGGAGAAGGGCTACGCGGTCGACTCTCAGCGAATCATGCATCTTGGCAGCACAGGTGCTCCTATCGACTATTACTATCACTAGTGCTGCTAGCCACCCTCCCCCTACCAACCACCTGGTGCTTAAACCCATCATCATCATCATCGTTTGCATTGGACCACGACACGAAAGTACTGTGAATTCTGAGTAAAACGTATGTGCTCTTAAGAAGTGCGTCATCGTCCACACACACCCTGCAAGCAGCAACAGTGCTCAACAGCGGTGGTTGGTATTGGACTACGACGTTACGGAAGTACGAATGACATATGCCTTGAACAGTGTTTAGGAGCGGTGGTTGGTAGGGGGGGCGCCTCCTACAAGTATTAGCTTCTAGTAGTATTACTAGTCCTGCAAGTACTAGTACTACTAGCATACCAGCATGAGTAGTACTAGTTCTAGCTACTAGTAGTAGTAGTAGTAGTAGTAGTCGTCGTCGTCGTCGTCGTCGTCGTGGTGGTCGTGGCTCCTGCTGCTGCTGCTGCTGCTGCTGCTGCTGCTGCTACTCCTACCTACTGAAGCTGCTTCCTTGATTACAGTGTCACTATGGGATGCTAACGGTCAGGTACTTCGGCGGCGAGCTCGAAGACAGCAGGACCCTGGAGAGTGCGGGCAACCTGGCCTGGGCAAAATGCCTAGCTTTCCTGTTTAACGGCTGGCCTTAATCCTGGGTTGATCTATTTCGGCGGGACTGAGGTTCAGCGAAATTTAACTCAGCAGATTTGCTTTACGAGGTTTTCAACATTGACACGAAATCCGAAGGCTTCGATTCACAAATCCAAAAGCCGCTGCGTCAGCAGAGAGCGGATAGTGCTGAGGTATGAACAACACGGCCTCTTGGATGCAGTAGTCAGTACCCAATGGCCCCAAAGTTTTTCCTTGTTGGGGTTCATATATGTAGAATCCTATAGGGTAATCCCAAAAAGGACCCTAAACCCTAAACAAAACCCTAAACCCTAAACCCTAAGCCCTTCTTTGGGGCCTCTGGCTAGTCCCATGCATGGTTCGGGTTTTTGGAGCTTCTTGCTCAGGCTTTCGAGCTTGGAAGGAAATCGGCTTCAGGCTTAAGTGCCAGAGACTCCAAAAAAAACCCTTAATTAAGGAATGTACCTTAAATTATAATAGGAGCCCTAATATGATTTAAGGAATATACCTTATAATAGGATCCCTAATATGATTTGACGTATATTCCTTAATTAAGGGGTCTTGGAGTCTCTGGGAAGTGCCAGAGGCGTCAAGGGTGCCGACCTCGCGTGAGCCGTACATGCGTCGAGTCCTTCGGTTTTTACTGTTGCTCTTAGATACCACCCCGCAAAAAAAGATTCGTGGCAGGGGGGAGGGGAGTCTTTGTGACAGCTGTGGGTTTCTGTCCAGCATCGAATGCACCGACAATTGCAGGGTTCGGTGAGGGGCTGAGCCGATATAGGGACCCCTTTAAGGCTTAGGTATCTACTATAAAGGTACATGGAGCCTTTGGGGTTGGTTTCGCTGCTACGATTCAAGTTTAAAGTGCCAGCAGTCCCAGGAACAGGCCGGTTTTTGGATCTTGGTATCACTAAACCTTAGAATTCTGGACCCCTAAGCCCTGCACATGAAGCCACACCACAGACCACATGACCCACAGCTGCATAAGACTGGGCTCTTGTTGCGGAATTTATTTTAGTTACCATAATAAGGATCTATAGTGAGTAATGTGGTTTCCCGATTATGTAACTTAAGTTTGATCCTTTAACAAGAACCCGGAGGAAGGCAGCATTGAGCCAAGCCAACCCTGCAGCCACCCTCCCGGCCGGGGACCTAAGGTAAGGGTTCATTCAGGAGTGTAAAGTTTAGGGCTTATGTATAGGTTGGGGGCGTCTAAACCCCAAACCCCTAAACCTAATCCCTAAACGCCTAAACCCCTAAACCCTGAACCTCTAATCCCTACACCCTAAACCCCTAAACTCTGAACCCCTAAAACCCTAAACCCCAAACCTGAAACCCTAAACCCTAAACCCGCGACCTCTAAACCCTAAGCCTTAGAACCCTGGGAGCTTGAGGATGATCCGCTCCTGCACATGATTCCGCAGCCTTAGCATCCTGCATCTTGTCTGCAAGATCGAGGTTTAGGGTTTAGGGCCTCGCGACCCGAATGTAGAAACTGTCTTATTCCCGCGAATTCCGGCTCCATATCGTGTGACACGAATGTAGAAATTATACTGATGCTTGCAGCATCTACCCCCCCAAACCCTAACTTTAGTATCCCCATCGCCCGATGATCCCCGAACCCGCAAGCCGCTAGCCGTCGAGCGCCCTGTGCCCCAAGTTCCCTCAACAAAAACCCATCATCCAACAGAAGCCTCAATGCTTCAAAGCTAATAGAGACGGCTCAGGGTTTGTAGGATTTAGGGTAGGGTTTCGGGTTTAGCGCATTTAGTTTAAGGTCCAGGTTATATTCAGCAAAGATGATATCCTATTACACGTCCTGTGTATTTGTACGTATATATATATATATATACACATACATATGTATGTATGTATATATATATATATTACCTATAATTACATATAACCATGCGTGAACACACCCGAAAACACCATTCATGTTATCAAGGCCTCTACAGCCCTGGCATCTGGCACATCAGACGTGACGTGCCCAATCGATCCTACAAACTCTGCTTAGTTCAAAGGATCAGGGACTTGGCAACTTAGTTATTACTTTATTGGTAAGTATGCGTACCGTTATAAGTGGTTCTAAGTTCTTCTACTCCAATCAAGGTACTTCTATCCTTACATACTAAGTCGTTGATCGTCCCCGTGTGCCCGGCCGTAGAAGCCTTGTTAGTCATGCCATTCTTTTTGGCGCCTTATTGCAACATCATGATCATTACATTAAGACCCCTATGTAAATCCGTGCAAAGTGCCAGGAAGAGTGTGTACATACAACAACACACCAAAACAATGCGAAACTGTAATCACCATGGTTCTTCGGCTTATTCGCTGACGAGTGCTCTGTAGGTTTGCACAGTGCGTTCGCAAGCGTTGGTGTCTTCATATGTGCCCAGAGCAACTCCTCGGGACGAACACATGGGTTTGGGGTTTAGGGCTTAGGGTACGTGGTCGACATGGTCATCCTCACCTTTCCACTGTGCTTGGTTCCCTTCGTCATGGTCAGCAGAAGTAGAGTTTTATACGAAAGCAGAGTCATATGATCACGACTACGGCCATGATATTGCTGCTGCTGCTGCTGCTGCTGCTGCTGCTGCTGCTGCTGCTGCTGCTGCTGCTGATGTTGGTGTTGATGTTAAATCAGGTGCCAATGATGCTAAATACGTAGTATGAAGATAGCCATTAACATGACGACGATCGTGATCATGACGACGATGTCGATGCCGGGAACGGTGCTGAATTACTTTCTGGGTTATGAAGTTGCCATCTACGATGCTGCTGACGATGTAAATCCCGATGTTGTTGTCGATGTTTGCTGTTCCAGCAGGTGCGGATGCTGATGATGGTGAAGGCGATGTGATGATATGATATGATATGATATGACGATACGATATTAACTTTTGCTGACCGTCACTGACCCTCCTCCTCCTCCTCTTCCTTTCAGGGTTTAGGGTTTAGGTTGCTTAATAGAGTTTAGGGTTTAGGGTTCTAGGTTCTTTAAGAGTTTAAAACAGTTTAGGGTCCTAGCCTCCGCCTCGTAGTCCCAACCTGGGTCCTGCCGCTTGCAACCTCGGAGTGTCTCCAGGCAGCGCTGGTCGGTGCTATGACCGCGTGTTTCACCCGGCTGTGGAGAATTACCGTGGTTCTATACCATGCAAGGATCACCTATGCCCAAGGACCTATCACGAAGCCTGTCAATACTTCGTATACGTATTTGCTGCCCTATCATGGCACAGGGGGTTGACTGCAGGGATTAGGGTTTGGTGGATTTACGTGTACCACCTGGGGATCTGTTGTTATTGAAGAAGTACCCTGCTAGCAGCATCCCACTAATCAGTCACTAAGTCACTAAGCAATTCGGGCTCTAGCCATACCGCACCGCCCGAACAAAGGTTCAGTACCTTCCCTACTGTGGGTTTGCATAGTCGCTTCTTGATTTCCACATTTACAGTACAACGCCTAGTCTGTTCTGTGATACATCTTTGATGCTCTGCGGCCGACAAATCAAAGCAGAGCTTCTTTCGCAATCCACAGCAAGTTCTCCAAGCAAAAAGCGGATGTGGGGCGACTGCAGACGACTAAAGTTAATCAGGTACTGACCGGCGGCGAGGACAGCAATAGTAGTGTCGTAGGTGTGTCGTTTGGGCAGTGTGTGACTGGCAGATTCTTGTTCTGGGCTTGCAAATGATTTTCGTGTGGCGGTTCTCGGATTCTCGGGCAACCCCGACAAGTGTATCTGACAGAGCCCTAAAGCCTGTACTCTTAAGCTTAAATTCTAAAACCTAAACTCGCCCTCCTAAATCCTAAACTTTACAAGCCTAAACCCAGGCTCCCTACATGCCCTAAACCCCGGACAAAGATCACCCTCCTAAGTCCTAAACTTTACAAGCCTAAACCCAAACTCCCTAAACCCCCTAAACCCTGGACAAAGATCCAAAACGAGTTTGTTGAGGTTTAGGACGCTTCAGGTTTAAGCTTTGCGGCTTAAGGATATGTAGGGGTTTAGACTTTGGGAGTTTGGGGGATGAGGGGTTTATGGTTTGGAGATTCGGGTGTGGGATTTATCAAATGGGAAAAGGAGGGTCCCTTACTGGGGACCCCTACCCTATAATGGGCTATATAATGGGTATATAACAGCTATATTAAGGGTATATCTCTAGGGGTCCTTATTAAGGGTCCCCCCTTTTACCCTTGGAGTTTAGAGCTTCAGGGTCTGCGGTTTAGGAGAGAGTCATAGGGAATCTTAGAGTTGTTCTATCAGGCTTAAACGAAGCTGATGTAACGGATCTTGTAATAAGGGCGTCATCTCCAAAACCCTGAACCCCTAAACCCCGAAACCCTAAAGCCCTAAACCCTTAAACCCCTAAACCCTAAACCCCCAAACCCCTAAACCCCTAAACCCTAATCCCTAAACCCCTGAACCCTAAACCCTTAGCGCTATAGACCCTAATCCCTCAACCCCTAAACCCCTAAACACTAATCCTGAAGCCGGCTCTTGACATGGGCGACCCCTGTATCTATGTCCGACATCAGTTGGTTTAGGGTTTAGGGGTTTGGGGTTTAGCATTTAGGGCTTAAGGGTTAAAGGGTATAGGGGTTTAGAGGTTAAGGAGTTTAGGGATTTAGGGTTTCGGGGTTTAGGGTTGAGGGCCTTTGGTATCTGGGGATGCGTCGCTCAAAGCCAAAAGCCGTGGGCCTCTGAACCCCTCAAACATTGGCTCAAACTTTATCTCTATGTCCTGAAACGCAGAAGCCGCCGAACCTCAACTTTCAACCCCCAATACGAAACGCCGCACCGCTTGTATACCGTATTTAATGAAACCCGAAGACCTCACCACTAAACCCTCAATCTTTGCAGCGCCGCAGCGCAGGTGCGGCACTTGGTACCGGACCTTGCAGAGTCTGCCGAGGAGCTGCGTGCGTTGTGAGGTTGAAGGTTCGGGTTTGTCAAAGGTGTTTGGAGGAGCCCCTAAACCCTGAACCACGAAACCCTCATCTCGTTTTACGGGCCATAAGCCCGAAACCCCAGTCACCCTACACCCTGCAAGTTTCTGAGACTGTGATTTCCCTTCTTCGGATGGACTGTCTGTTCAGGATTCACGTCTTCGGAGTTGAAATTCGGAGCCTTAATCCGTAGAAGAGGGTTTTCGGGGGGAGTGTTTTGTTGTAGAACTACATAGAAGCAGCATTATAGCTGACATAATTGAAAACCACACCCTAAACCCCTGACACCCTAAACCCTAGACCCTCAGCCCTTTAAAGGTACAGTAGAGTTGCTTCCGGGAACTCCAAAACGAACGCAGCCATCGACAGGACTGGCCCTTCTCGTGACGCTGGCCATGTTGGTTCCGAGATGCGACACCATGTCTACAGTGCATAGTTAGGATCCCTCTTAATATCCCACAATAGTACAGCCCCCTTAAACAATCAAAAAGGACCCTGAAAGGCGCCCTAGTTTAGAAAACTGCCCACATGCAACAGACCGCGCTGGAGTATTCCAGCAGGTTCTGAGCAGTAAGATGCCCGTTTGGGACATGCCAGGTGCAGAAACTCTCTCTGCATGCCTTCCGCGCAGTTTCATGGGACTGCTTTCTCTCATATCCCAAGGCTCCATGTACCTGTATAGTAGATACTTAAGCCTTAAAGGGGTCCCTATATAGGTACTTTAAGGCCTAAGTATATACTATATGGGTACATGGAGCCTTAGGGATATGCATAGATCCGCATGTGCCAGGCTCAGCACGGTGAAGCGCGATGGCACTGCTTGTGCCACTGGGCCCGAAAGCAGCGGAAGTTGGGCTTTTCTGTCCTTCAGGCTGTAGGAGCAGAGCACGGGGTGGTCTACTTAGAGGATCATGGGACTTCGTAACTAGGGTTATTAGTAAGGTAACTAAACTTATAACTACTTATAACCCCAATTAAGGTACTTATAACCTTACTAAGTCCCACGATCCTCCAAGTAGGGCACTGAAGCAGCTGCGTCTGAAGGCATTCTCTTCGCTGGGGCCTCTTGGGACCTCGACACTCTGGGCACTGTTAGGGTTTAGGGTTTAGGGTCTGATTATTACTACCGTGCTTTGTGCAGATCGGTAACCATAGTTAAGTCATTCCTGTACGCCGTCACAACATGCAGTACGCTTGTTAGAAGACACGACAAGGCAACGAACAATGCTGCATACCGATTCGAAGCGTGAGCTTCCGTGCACACGAAATCTGCAAGCTTTTTGTCTGCACGTCCCATGCCTTTATAGTTACGACTCGAGTACGAGCCGGAACAGGTGGTAGTATAGTTGTTTAGCATACCCCCGAAACCCGATTCAACAAAGACAATGCCCCTGTAGCATTTGGGGTCCAGCGCGAAGAGGAAGCTGCAATCATTGCTGAGGCTTACTGCTCCTGGAGACAAGGCTGTTTGGGCTGCACCGTCCCTGCTAATCAGGAGGACTGTCAAGAGCTCTTGCAGCAACATTCATGGTCTGTGCTCATGGACCCTCATGCTCAGACATTCCGTTGTGGTCTTAGAAGTCCATTTGCCTACATATATGTATATACATCTACACATATATAGACGGGGGTCTCATTTTTAGCTTACTCTTCCGACGTCATGCCCGTAGCAGGTCAGCAGATGCAGCACAGCCATCAACGACAGTACCAGCGCCAGCAACAGCTACATGAGCAGCAGCAATATTGTCATCAAGCACTAGTTTCAAGAGTTACAAGATCATCTGCAGCAAAAAAGGCGTACTTCAAAGGTTGACGACGAGCGTCGCGACGATGTTGACAAGACTGACGTTAATGCTGATTCGTCAACATGTTAATTAGGGCAACGGCTCTCTGGACTGATTCTGCAAAGACTTGAGAACAAGCAACACCCAGTGCTATCTATGGGACCATGGCAACCAGGAGCCTGCCAGCATTAGTCCTGTCAACAGATAACACCGTGCCTCTTCAGAGGAGGAAGTCTATCTGACGGCGGAAGAGACTTTGGGTATCGATTCTCGGCCACTGTTCCCGCTGTCCTTTGGGGAGGCGAAGGTTTTGCAAGGTTGCCTCAGGGATACTTAGACATGATTTTTCATTTTTGGTGATTATAACACCGAAGAAACAGCTAAAATCATAATTTTTGCTAGGGTTCTAAGTTCTGTATAGTTGCATCATTGAGGATAAGAGCTGTAACCCCCCCCCCAGCCCACAGCTCTGGGCCTAGTAACTACGAACCGAAGCCTCGGGGTTCGACACCTTTACAAGTTAATAGAGGGGCCTTGAGAAGTACCTCGTCTATATTGGGGTTCCGGAGAATAACTATATAGCACAGGATGCCCCCAATTCCGTATTCGAATTATTAAGGCCCCTATACTAAGCCCTGGATGCCAGATCTGCAACCCCCCCCCCCCCCCCCCACCGCCCATCCTACGCCTCGAAACTCGAATTGCACCAGCCCGACTCCCAACACTTCTAAGCCCTAAACCTCTAAATACGAAATCCTCCTAGCCCGAAACCTCCGAAGCCGAAAGACTGCTTGTCATGTTATCGTTGCCAGCCCTAAACCCTAAACCCTAAACCGGAGGTGCTTGTATTTGGCTTGCGGGTCTCTTTCGTTGCTTTTCTAGTTGTTGTTTTTTTTAGGGTTCTCCCTAAACTCTAAAACCCCAAATCCTAAACCTGGGCTTCTTTGTTTGTGTTTTGTAGTTTTTGGTGCTTTAGGGTTCTTTCTAAACTCTAAACCCTAAACCCTAAACTCCAAACCCTAAACCCTAAACCCTAAACCCAAACCCTAAACCCTAAACTCCAAACCCTAAACCTCTAAACTCCAAACCCTAAACCTCTAAACTCCAAACCCTAAACCTCTAAACTCCAGACCCTAAGCCCTAAACTCCAAACCCTAAGCAACCAGAGTTTCGAGCCGAGTGTGGGCTCCCATTGTAGCCCAGGCTTGAAGGCTCGCTCCGCCAGAGGGCTCATACACATTGACGTGCATACATATGTAAACACACATAATTACAAAAAACAGATATGAAATATATATATATATATATACATATACATATTATGTATATATATATATATGTATATATATATATATATATAGAACAAAAGAATACATATATATATATATATATATATATATATATATATATATATATATATATATATATATATTAAAGATACATATATATATATATATCGATGTGTATCAATACTGGCAATAGATTCTGGAATGGCGCCAACACAAGCAGCTCTGCCATGGTTTTGTGGAAATGACTCCATAGACGCAGTGCCTAGGAATGAACCGTACCTGTACCTATAGTCTCCATTGTAGTTCCGTTTTTTGGTTATCCAAAATCTCTATTATAAGATCCTAACCATAAAATTGGTTAACCAAAGAAAGGAACTACAATGGAGACTATAGGTATGGGTTCACTTTCACTCGGCAGGAAGAGAATGTGATAGGTCCAACACTAACCCTGTCTAACTTCCACTCCAAACTCTGAAGTCACACTTGCCCCAAGACCTTTAAACTCTGTGCCCCAAGCCTAAGACCTTTAAACTCAGATCCGACACCCCCTAGAGCCCAAAGCCTGAACCCTAAACCCTAAACCCTAAACAGCAACCCGCAGACCCCTCCTAAACCATGAAAGCCTAAACCCTAAATCCCTAAACTCCCATGAGCCGCTTTGTCCACCGCAGCCGGGACTCAAAGGAACCACCCGGACGATAGCCTTCGTGGTCGAGTCTCGTACGTCTATGAAGCAAACCTACCAGGCGGTTTAGGTTTAGGGTTTAGGGTTAGAGACGCTGATATGTAGATCCTAAGCAAAACATAAACAGGCTTATCAAAAGGAAGTGTTACACATTCGGATGTAGGTATCACCCAGCAACGAAGCCCGATCGGCCTGTTTCTTACTAGGTTACTCTTGGTATGACTTCGATCGTCTGGACTTGAGGAAGCAGGATCTTATCCTTGTCAACCTTTGCCCTCCTCCCTACAAAGCACGATACCGAGCAAGGTGCAACAGCCAATACGGAATTCTGAAGCCAGTTGTTTCGTGATTGTCTGAGGGCCAACTGCGAGCAAGCAATAGTCCATGTCGTTCTGCACGCGTTTTTGTCGTGTTGTTCGTGAGTCGATCGTGTCATAGAGCTTTCTCCGGATGGGGACGCAGCATTGTCCAGAAGCAGTGCTGATGAGCTTGGAGGCCGGTTGTCACAAGCAAGTGTTAGCTTCTAAAGTTGCTACCTGGCGTTAGCGTTGACATAAGTAGTTACGCTTAATCCCCAAAAGCCCTGCACCTTGCAGGCAGTCGAGTTCTTTGTCTGCCCAAGCCGCAAATCCTACAACCCTAAACTCCCTAAACCCAACACAAATCCTTTCTCGGCTGTGTCTTGCAGGTTCGAGTGGAGAAACTCGATGCTTGCCAGAGAACAGTATAGCGATCCGAAGGTTTGGGGTTTAGGGGTTCAGGGATTGAGGTCGTGGGTCGAAGCTTAGGTTTAAGGGTTTAAGGGTTTAAGGGTTGAAGGGTTGAAGGGTTTAAGGGTTTAAGGGTTTAGGGTTTAGGGCTCAATAGAAGTGCATTCATACAGCTTCTACAAGGGTGCTGTAATGATGCGGAAGGTTGATTTCGGTGCAGCTTTTCGTTCCGTTGTTGCGAACCCTAGCCTAGAAACCGTCAATCCTTGCACAGATCCCGAAACTGCCATTATTGCTCAAAGGATCCAAAGTGCCTATACGGTACGCAGGATGTCGGGTTTCTATAATCGGAAGTACTATGCTGATTTAGGGAAGTATCCCCGATAAAGGTACCTGGGACCCTTTTGGGAAGGTGATGTTTTTGGCTTTGGAGGTTACCTAAAGTCTCCATTGTAGTTCCTTTTTTGGGTTACCTTATAGGATCCTTAATATATATTTGGTTAGACCAAAAAAAGGAACTACAATGGAGACTATAGGTAGAGTCAGGTAGAGTTGATTCTTGCGGGGTTTTGGAGCTCTTGTGCTGCTCCTTCGCCACCTATAAGCCCGCCACCCTGAATCCTCAACAGCACCCCGTCAAAAGCCTTTGACATCAAACTCTCAACACCCTACACCTGAAAGCCAAACCCGAAGCACGCAAACATGGGTATACTTACATAAGACTATATATATATATATATATATATATATTCTATACACACAATTTCTGAAAAGAATCTATCTCTTTGCAGGAAAACTGCAACTACAAGTTCTTGGCTCCCCCAAAAACCCTCAACCCTATATACCCGCAACTACAGGATCATGGATCCACTACAGCCATCCTCCGTGGGCTTAACCGGTATGTCACGGCCAGCGACCTCCTGCGTCTGCTGTTCCCCGGCTGCCGTCTTGTTGCGTTCAGGCTTTCGGTTTGGGGTTGTGGGGGTCAGGGTTTGGTCTGCGTTTGCTTTAATTCTCGAAACTCTGAATCCTAAACCCTTAATCCCAAAACCCTAAATCCTTCCAAACGGGTTTTATAATTAGAGCTTTTGGGGCCGAGACGTCTCGGTCTACGATTTAGGGTTTAGGGTTTAGGATGTAGGGTTTCTGGAGTCTAGGCCTCAGAGTTTGCGGTCTCATGATCCTCATACCTGTGTAGGTAGTTTTAAGAAGTTGGCGGGAATGAGGCGCAGCCAAGCGTGTGTATGGAGGTCGAAAAGTTGCTAAACCCTAAACGCTAAATCCTAAATCCCTAAAATTTAACTCCCCCAAAAGCCCTAAAATCCTACAGCACTAAAACTACAAAAAACATCCTTAAACTGTCCCAAACCCTGCAACCATACAGCGCAACATAAAAGATTAAAGTCTGCTGAGCCAGAGAAGACCTCGAGGCGAGCACAAGGACCCGAGATGTTCTAATGTAGGAACTTGATTAAGAAACCCTGGGCCTTTCTTGGGGTTCCTTTAAAGGGGTCTATAATGAGGGTTACTATAAGGGTGCTACAATAATGTAGCAACCTGATTAAGAAACCCTGGGCCTATAACCCCAAAATAGTAGGGTTCATAGAAGGAACCCTAAGAAAGGCCCAAGGTTTCTTGATCAGGTTCCTACATTATGAGGTGCTTGGCTTTAGGATGGCAGTTTTAGGGTTTAGGGGTTGAGGGCTAATACGGTTTATGTTCAGTTTTCTGCGTGAGTATGTTGTGGTACATGAGCAACCCTACCCTCAGGCCCCAAAGTACTTTAAGTTAATACTTAGCGGCTTGGGTTCGGTAGTAGCTGCTGAACCCGCACCGTAAACTCTAAGTAAGTTGCCGTAGTATGTTGCGGGGTATATGATGGTAAGCGCCATCCGAGGAGCCCGAACCTTTCAACACTATTAGTACTTGGGTTAAGGTCTGAGTGTTGTTGGGCAGCAGTCGGGTAGAACCATTTCGAAGAGGGGATATGGTAACCCCGTGCTTAAGCATCCGAATCATTAGCTACTTAGGTTTCGGATAGTAGTTCTGTGCGTACAAACTTTCTTGGCTTCACAATGCGTCCCCGCTTAATTATAAAGCCCGAAGGTTAAAGTGATTAAAGTTTACCCAGAGGCCCCAAAGTAGTTCCATTTTGGGATTACCCTATAGGATTCTATATATAAACCCCAGAAAGGAACTAATTTGGGGCCTTTGGGTAGACTCCAAGCCCCTCCTATGCCCGATGGATTCGATCTGAAAGTCTGAACCGGCCAGCTCTGTTAGTTCGCCTTGAGGGACTACTTTCCGCCGCATATGGAACGGCGTGTGTACGACTTTGTGCATCTCGGCGGCAGATCTCCCTTCACAGAAATCTCTCGCGATGTAGAAGCCCTATATCCCGAATAAGCGGCCTGATATACCATAGAGTCCATTTATATGGTTTTATATGTGGGCATTGATCTAAAGGTCCTTGTGGTTGTATTTATACAAAACGATCACGGGCATAACATGACATGCCAGCGCGAAAGTTGCGCGATGGGTCCGCTAAAGAAAATTATTCGTTTGCTAAAGTTATTGCGTTAGCATAGTCCCGACTCTTACTACTACTGCTACTAATTACTACTACTACTACTACTACTACTACTCCTACTCCTACTTCTACTACCACTACTACTCCTACTGCTAGTACCAGTACTAGTAACTGCACTAATATGTACACTTGTATTTGTACTAGTACTGGCACTGCTCCTGCTATTGCTACTGTTACTGCTACTCCTACTTCTGCTGCTACTACTACTACTACTACTACTACTACTACTACTACTACTACTACTACTACTACTACCGCTGCTGCTGCTGCTCCTACTACGGCGACGACTACGACGACGACTACTACTTCTACTACTATGTTTTAGCACGACATGTCAACCGAAACACGCAGCAGGCTCCAGGCAGATGCCAAAATGTGGTGTGGCTAGTGCGTGTAGCGCGAAAGATCCGCTAAAGGCAACGGCCCATTGTTGTTTCTACGGCTACTACTGGCGCATACCACGACGAGCACTAGCATTCACAGTAGCACTAGCACTGTACTACAGCGGGGAGCATGGACGTAGTTGTTACCAGTTTTTTCCAGGCGTTGAGGGCTAATTTCTAGGTTTCCGGAACTGGATTGGCGGGTGTTGGAGTGGAGCTGTCAGGTGTGCTGGTTTCCTTGAACCCAAAACCTACCGTAATCCTTGTGTCCCGAACCCTTAACAGGCTTCAACCTTAGCCACGCACCTTACAAGCCGAACGTTAAACCCTAAACCCCTAGTAAAATGTAGGTTGTTTAGGGACTGTAGGGTTGATGACCCTAGACCCTACCTATAGTCTCCATTGTAGTTCCTTTTTTTGGTTAACCAGTTTTATGGTTAGGATCTTATAATAGAGATTTTGGATAACCAAAAAAAGGAACTACAATGGAGACTATAGGTAAGCCCTGGTTTAGAGGGTCGTGAAGCTGCAGGACCAGGGCAAGGGCATGGGGGTCGCGAAGGCTGAACTTGGCTTGAGGGTGCGCGGGTTCAGTGTAGGGTTCAGGGTTTAGGGTTTAATCGGTATGTGATGTGTATGTTCTGCATTTTGCATCTTTTGTTCTATGCTTGTGTGTGGACCCAAAGGCCCCAAAGTAGTTCCTTATTTTTGGGGTTCATATATAGAATCCTATAGGGTAATCTCAACAAGGACCTACTATGGGGCCTCTGGGTGTTTGGTTAAATTTCATCAACGGGGGCTGTCGGGCTGTATCTCCTACGGTGTTTGGCCGTTTCCGTGCGCGAGCTATGGGATTTGCAAAAACGCCCAAGGATGTGGGCTTTTGGGGTTTACGGGTTTACGGGTTTATAACGTTTAAGAGCCAGGGTTTAGGTGTTTGGGCCTTGCAAGGCCATTTCGGGTTTAGGCTTCCTAGAGACACCAATATCCCTGAATTAAGGAATATACTTTAAATTATGGTAGGGTCCATCCTATGATTTAAGGTATATTCTTTGCGGTATAATATTGGAGTCCATGGGTCCCAACCCACACAGCCACATCCTAGTAAACGACAGTCTTAGGGTTTAGGGTTTAGGGTTCAGGGTTTAGGGTTTAGGGTTCAGGGTTCAGGGTTTAGGGTTTAGGGTTCAGGGTTTAGGGTTTAGGGTTTAGGGTTCAGGGTTTAGGGTTTAGGGTTTAGGGTTTAGGGCAGTGTCAACAGTCAACGTACCGTTTCTTGCTTGGGGCTCATGCAGGTATGTGCCATGGGCAACGGGCGGCACGGCCAACATAGGCCTAGCGCTACTTGGCAGAAACGCGCGGTCAGGGATTCCTGGATGCTGATCCTCAACCCATATACCCCTGAAACCCACTCTCCCCTTGTTTAACATGTGGGTGGTTCTCTAAATCAGGGTCCCCTTTCGGGTCCTATTCTTAAGGGTGCCGTACAATTTATGGGACCGAGAAGCTGGCCCCAATTTGGAGAACTATCCATATCGATACTGTAAACTTCGGAACTCCTAGCCTTTGCTCCCACCCTCGAGTCCAAAATACAGCTTCACGCGGAACTGGTGGTGCGATCTTGAAACCCTAAACTCCTGAACCCTACACCCGTAAAACGTAAGCCCCGAACCTTTGTGTTCTGCTTGATATTTGTATCTTGTAGATCAGGTGTTTGGTGTTGATTGGTTTCGGTTGGCACTTAGGTTTCGCTGTTCCCTTTCGGTTTCGAGTCACTGAGTCGGAGGGCTTCCCCAGGGTGCTATACAACTTACAGTCTTGGCCTTCGGATAACACCCTTCACTGGACACAATGGTTTCCTTTAACTAATCATAATGGGTATTTACTTCGTTTTGTTGGTAAGAAGCCTTGGATAAGAAGCAAAGCAAGGTAACTAGAGCTAAAATGCACGATATATCGCGGCGCCTGATGCGCGTGTAACCAACTAGAGAGGAGGTCTGGGTAAGATCGTCGGTTTCCAGGCCGTAGAACCCTCTTCGCCTACACTCGAGACACTTGTAAACTGCTAGACATAGTTCACGATACTGCTGGGCTGGCCGCTAGCCGCTTCAAGCAGACATGCTCCGAAGTTCCGAAGCCGGGACAATAGTAGCTGTCTTCCAGCACCAAGCAACTGTTGCCGCAGAGCCAGCAGGCAGCAACGGAACTCTCCAGTCTTCATAGTCAGGATTCTTTTTTAGGTTGTGGGCTCAACCTGCAGGAGCATTCTCATAAGCAGGCAGACATATAAGCAAGTACCGCCAGAGTGAACATGGTGCCCAAGCTCGCCGGCTAAAGTAGCACTGAGCATGCTCAAGTCAAAGGCCCGGCCTCGCTCTTCTGGCCAAGGTTTGTAAACTTCGAAGAACACTGGCAATGTCGCCAATTTCTTCAGTGTCTTCGATCGGCGCCAAATCAAAGGCGTTTGTTGCAGCTCCTTCGACGCGTTTGAGTGCTGAAAGGAGTCTTCAGGTTTTTGTTGTAGCCATGTGACACTGGTTCAACAGTCAAAACAGAGTGCAGAAAAAGGTGGACTTACAACAAACTCATATATGTTAGAGAGCTTCGAGAACTTGTTTGGTAAAGGTCTTTGAAACGGATCAATGGACGTTCAGGTTCGTTCGGGTATCCTTGGGAGAGGGGCGGGGTTCAAGCTCGGTGTATAATCCAGTAACACAGGACTGCTTCTGCCCTACACCCCCAAGGGCGCCTCTTATCATTGAAGTCACCCCGATATGGTGACAACAGCAACTATCTTCGAAACAAGAGTTCTCTCTGTAGGTCCTGAACCGTACCCTAAACCCTAGAAAGAGGAGAGCCTGAGTAGGCGTATTTACGGACATAGCGGTTTAGGGTTCAGGGTTGGCACAGACCGACATTGGACCTCCTTTCTTGAAGGGGTCTACAAGAATTAATTTAGGGACCTAAATAATTACCTATACTGTTGTGGAGGTTCCTTCGTGTAATTATAGTATAATGGGCCCCAAAACCCTACCCTATCCTAATTATCAAGCCCCCTATATTAGAGGTCGGTGGCTTGATGTGCGGGGCTTGAGGCCTGGAGTCCTTTTGCTTGTTCCTGTCAGAGTATACAGAGCACGCACCAACACCTTGGCCGCCGTTCTAGTGCTTTAATGGAGCTTTGGAAGTATTGTCACCGCCAGGATCCAAATTACGAAGTAATTAGGTTTTCGATGGCTGTTAGTTACGTAGGGTAGTGCTTGGAGGAAAATATAAGAAAAGGTTCAACCTTCATAGCAAGAGAATCCGTTTTTTCCGACCCAGGTGGGGTGTGCGCTCAGTCGGTCAGTCCATGATCCAGGGGCGCGGTCCCTTCGCTGGCAGTTTGTCGGGGTTGTCTTCATAGGATGACGGGGCTGAGCACCTAAAGTTACAAGTAAGGTAACCTAAAACTATGTTTACTTATACCGCGCTGCCTTGACAACGAGAAAAGGGCTCAGGATTTCGGGTTTATAATTAGGTTCTCTGATTTATAAGGTCTAAGGTTTGGGATGTACAGGGTTTGGGGTTTAGAGTGTAGGGTGAGGGATAAGAAGAGGGTCTTGTGGATAGGATTGTGCTTAATGCTTCGTTGTAGGAATGGGGCTTTGGGGTGTGTCAGACTATACTTCCACCAAACGGAGGTCTAGATAACTTATGAAGCCTAACCTGAACTCTAACCCTAAACCTCCTACTCTATAGTTATTGAGCCCCCTTTTTGAGTCTTACACTCCTACATCCTAAACTTTAAACCCTATAAAACTTTTGTCGGGCGTTTGTTGGGGGAGCAGCTGAGGTGGCAACTTAGAGGCTATTTGCCAGAAGAGGGGGCTCGCCGGAATGACGGACCGGGTGCCAGAGAAAGGGTTTGGGATTTGGGTTTTTGGGGCTTAGGTTTTTTGGTTTGGGGGTTTAGGGTTTGGGGTCTTGGTTCTAGGGTTTTGGCTGTCTAGGTTTTTTTGGATTTGGGGCTTAGCATTTGGGGTTCGGGGTTTGGGAGCTTAAACGCTTAGCAGCACTGTCTCCTTTGAGCTTTGTAGACGTTTGTTTATAGGTGAGGGTTCAGGAACATTTGCTTGATCTGTTCTCAGGATGACTTATCGGGCGGGGTTCTTAATCTGCCTGCGGACAACACACCCGAAGATCCAGGCAACCGGACGAAGTTGCAGGGGAGAGATGGTTCCTGGTCCTTGCAGGGATCTATAGGGGTTCCTGTAGGGGATCTGGGTTTAGGGTTTAGGGGTTGAGGGTTTAGGGTTTAGGGTTTTGAGGAAGGTCGCGGAACCTTCGCAGCCAACACCGTCAAAGACCCAGGGTGGGTGGAAAGTGGACCCCAGCAGATACCCCCTGCCATAACTAGGTGCCACTAAACTCCGATTATAAAGCTGCCTGTTCAAACAAGCTTATGGAAAGCTACTATCCAGGTAAACCCTTAAAGATCAGGAACCAGCGCTGTAGAGGGTGATGAGCATCAACCTTAGCTGAGGGTCGTAGTGGTGTGATATGGTAATTAACCTGACCAAGAATGTACCCCTAAACGATGGGATCCAAACGGTCGATGCGCGGAAAGAAACGTACGTGCAGTGTGCAACATAACTGCAGACACGGGATACTGCGCCTAGGCTGCTAATTCAGGTTCCACTTATTCCTCTCTATATGTCACCTTGTAGCCCTACGAAACCCGCAACGGCAAATCTTGTTCCGAAAGCTCCGATCTCATCCACAAACTAGAATGGTGAGCCCCCATGGCATGCACTTAACCCAGACCCCAAATCCGTAGACCCTTAAACCCTCAGGTTAAGGTTCTACAGTACGTACCACATCATTCAGTATTGAGATGAAGGATACCCAGAGGCCCCATAGTGGATTACCTTGAAGGATTCTAAATATGAACCCCCAAAAGGAACTACTTTGGTGCCTCTGGGTAGTAGTGATGTCGGTTAGTATTATGAGGAGCACGGTTGTTTAATTTAATCATGGCTCTTAGGCAGTTTGACCTTCACGGCTCTCTCTTAGGCCCTAACAGTTTAACCAACCCTGAACCCTAAAACAAAAGCTACCCTTAAACAAAAGATGCAGGGAGCACGAGCAGTAGAATAGACCTTAAACTTAAACCCTGCACCCTTTAAAATTTCAAGCTCCTTGAAAAGATCCAGTCTGTGTAACTTTCAGATGTCGGGAAGTACACCTTAAAAGCTCCAAGGCCTAAACCTGCGAGTCCCAAGTTACTAAACCTAGTTTAGTGTTTTGGGGTTTAGGGTTTAAGGTTTTTTGGTGACCAAGCCCCAACAATAAACCCTAGAAGCCCTAACTGACAGCAGCTGGACGGAAAAGAGGCACTTCAAAAGAAGATTAGAAGGGCGCACTAGGGGCCCCCATATTTACAGTATTTTCGCATGTTCTATGGCGAAAATGATGTTTGAAATGGAAGGGTACGTAGGGCGTTCCACACTCCAAAAAAAGTAGCCGCAAACCAAACCTCCAAGCCCGTAACTCCAAAACTCTCGAAGTCCTACTAACCCCTTCAGCAAACCATAACCCTAAACGACAGCCACAAACAGAAGCCTTAAAAGGAATTTAGAAAGAAACCTTGATACAGAACCCGGTACAAATATCCTTAGAGTAGCGCTAGACCCCAAACCCCTGAATCCTAAACCTCTAAACACTTAAAACCTAAACTCCTAAACCTCTAAAGCCTGAACCATGTCTACCAGTCCATAAACCCCTAAGCCCTTATGGGAGCTCCCGAGCATAATAAGGGGTGCCTTCTTTTTGGGGTTTAGGGTTTAGGGTTTAGGGTAATGAGGCTCCTACTATTTATGGGTCGTTCATTAGGGTCCCGTATTTTCGGAACATAGAGGACGAGGACGCCCCTCTCTGTCTTCACCAAGGCAGTTTAGTGCTCTTTAGAGGGGCTTTAGGGGTTCCTTTAAAGGGATCTAAAAGGGCTTAGGGTTTGAGGTTTCAGATGGTTTTCGGGTTTAGTGTAATTGGGTTTAGAAGTGTAGTGTTTTGGGGTTTGTTAGCTTTTAGGGGTTCAGGGTTCTATGAGTGTCACGGCTCAGGTCTTGGGATTGTGTTCGAGTTTTTCGGGATCAGGGCTTTGGATATGGTTCATATCGATATCTGATATGAGACAGTGGTCGGTATAACCCTAAACCCTAACCCCTACATGTTCCGCTCCATATGTCCGCATGGGTCATATGCTCACAGTCCAGGAAGGGCGTAAGCATCGGATCCAGGAGTTTTCCATGTATGGTTATGGTTCCTAAACCCTAAACCCTGTTATGGTGCCAAACTCCACTGAAATATGTGATTATGCTATGCTAGATTCTTCGGCAGAGAAATGTGCCACTCAGAGGTAGCAAGGGCTACGACCTTCTGCCACACGTCCAAGTACCTAACAGCGGTTTGGGGTCTACCCAAAGGCCCCAAAGTAGGTCCTTTTGGGGAATATATGTAATCCTAAAGGGTAAACCCAAAAAGGAACTACTTTGGGGCCTCTGCGTATGGGGGTTCAGGGTTTGAGGTTTTAGGGTTTAGGGGTTTCGCATATTTGGGTTTTTTGGGGTTTAAAAGGGCATGCAAACCGTATTGGCTGGCAAATTCATGGCTCATGGGGCGCCAGGAATATGTTGAGATAGTTTGACAGTCGGGTTGGGGATCCAGGGTTTAAGGGTTCAACCTTGAAATAAGGTTGAAGCATTCGGGATTTGGGCATTCAAGTGCGGGGTAGACTGTTAGGTAGGGAACACTTGAAGCCGCGCGGCGTATTGCCCACAATTCCCAAACATTCTGCAGCCCAACCGACCCGACCCCAAATACGCCCTGACATGCGATACGTTCTGCCAGGTCAACTTTTGGATTGGGGGTGTTTCGGTCCCCTCCCTCGCGGGTGTAGGATTCGGGGTTTGGTGTGTCGGCGTATGGTTAAGGCTAAGCGGTTTGGCTTCGGGTCGTAATTTTAATCTGTAAGTCATTGTAAAAGTAGACTGCCGCCCATGGCGTTCAAGGTGGCGGGTTATGATTACGGTGTCTACATCTTGTAACTCCACACTGCATGCCCGGATCAGGCAAGGCCGTTTCTGCAACTTGGGTGTTGCAGCAGCATCGTCTCGAAGGCAGAAGCTTCCCGACTGAACCAGGACACCATTCGGGGCTTTTAGAAAGCCGCGCGCCTCAAAGTCCTTAAAAACAGTATGTAGGGCTGTAGGTTCCAAATGTCATTCCAAGTTAGGGACCGAAAGCCTAAGCCCTGAACCCTAAACGGTTGGAGGGCGCCTTTGGGTTTCAAGGCTTTCAGAGAAAGCATCTGGGGTCCTGTTATAGACTGCACAGAACTAGGATCCCTGCTAAGCCCCGCGACAGGGATCCCCTCCCAAAGAAAAAGCAAGAAACTCATGCATCACAGAAGGCCATGTCTTGCGGGTGATTCTCTGCCTTGAGTGGGTGTCCGAAGTTTCTTACAGCAAGGATACTATGACTTCGAGTCTGTGTTGCGTTTATGTTTCGGAAACTCCTATACGGACACTGCATGTTGCATGACATGTTTTCTTCCAATACATATGATATGATAAATATATCGAAACATGTGCATAATGCAGATGACTGTACAGCTTCCGATGCCAGTCACAGAACAGCAAATCTACATCCGAATTTTCGCCACCACTCACTGGAGTGAACGAGCCGCGAATTACGACAGCATGTGCCGCATGCTCAATACTTGCCACTACGAGTTGATCGTCATGACGACTCCCAACGACGGCAACCCCACACGCTCTTGAATCCTAACCCACGTGTCATCCGAGCCCCTGATGGACTGATGGAGGGGTTTAGGGTTGATCTTGCAGTAACACAGAGGTTAAGCAGATACATACCCGAACCCCTTCACGAAAACAAGCTCCGAAGGCCCAGGCCCTACCCATAGGCTCCATAGTAGTTCCTTTTTGGGATTCACTTTCAGAACCCTATAAGGTAATCCCAAGAAGGAACTACGATGGAGCCTCTGGGTAAAGGCCAAAAGCCGAACCCCCCTAAACTTTGAGCCAGACCTGGCTGCGCGAGTTGAGCATGAAACCCGTCAGACAGATCTTAAACCCTAAATACCCCTAAACCCCTAAACCCTAAACCCCTAAACCCCTAAACCCTCAACCCCTAAACTCCTAAATCCTAAACCCCTCAACCCTCAACCCCTAAACCCTAAATCATAAACCACAAAGCCTAAACAGTCAAGAGCCGACCTTCGGAGTTTACTGGTGGCTTTGCATTTTGAGGTAGGCCGATCCCCTGAAACCCCACAGTCCCGTATCCCTAAATCCGAAACTGGACCCCAAAACCTTACCTTCAACTACCTAACCCTACTTTATTGTAGGTTCCGATTATAAACCCTACTATGGAATTTATTCGGACCCTACAAGAAAGTAGGTTTTGGTAGGTTAAGGTAAACATAGAACACCCAAAAGGAATCGGTGCCCAGAACCCTCTATAAACCGAACCGAGCCGCACAATAAGCACGACATCCATACCGAAAGCACAGGCATTTGACGGGGATATCCCTACCGTATTGGGCTTCATGGTACGAGTTCCTTTTTGCGGGATATCCCTATCCTATGTTTTGCTTATGTGCCATTTTATGGGGTCCTTTTCATGGCTGTGATCACATAGGGACTACGGATACTAGTGGGCTTGACCCCAAAGGAGTAGGACAGGGTCTTTTCGTCCCTACTGCTAGCACTGAACAGATAACCCGAAACCATTACCCAAAGGCCCCAAAGTAGTTCCGTTTTGGGGTTTATATAGAATCCTGCAGGGTAATCCCAAAAAGGAACTACTATGGGGCCTCTGGGTACGTCTCATCCTGGAGTACGTGACAGCACAGAAAAGGAGCCCACAGAAAGCAGAAAAGCATTGACCGACGTTCTCTGAGGCTGGAGAACCCCACAAGAAGGAGGAAGAAGCCTCCCATCGAGGAGGGGCACCACCGGCAGTTTGGGGTTGCAGGGTTTAGGGTTTTTGGACTAAGGCTTTCGGGTTCAGACAACACCGTGAAACCATCTTTTTCAGGCGTATATGATTCTGACGAGATCATAAGAAGAGAGCCTAACATATAGTTGAATAGGGTTCAAGTACGGCAGACTGCTGCGGGGTTTCGAGTCTTTGAGGTCTCGGGTTGGGGACATCGAGTTTCAGAGTTGTAGCAGGTTTCAGTTCCCAGAGGGTCCATATACACTACTATTATGGAAGTAGGTCCCCAAAGCCATAATGGGGATGGTCTTTCAGGGCGTAATTCCATAATAGTAGTGTTTATGAACCCTCTGGGGTTTCAACGGCCACTGGAGTCCAGCGCAAGAGTTTTGGCCACTGTGGTTCTTACTTGGAGAGAAGAGTTGTAATTACAGTTGTCATAAGTATGAATATGCCATCAGCTACCCGCTCATGTCATGAATATTTCCGCACCGTTCTACGTTCATGATAGAGTACGCAGGCCCCAGGATTTCGTGTTTGGTTGTGGCACGCGATCTGTAGAGGTCCTGTCCAACATGCCTCGCGATCTTTTCGCTCAAGCCCTAAGACCTACAGCTCGGCACCCCTAGAGGATGCAACGAGCACAGGCACAGAAAAGGGTAATTAATGTCATTAGACCCTCATCAAAAAGATCTGCAGGACTAATTCTGTCTTACACCTTCTAGTGGCACTCGGGGTCTTTAGGGTTTAGTGTTGCAGTCTTGGGTTCGACTGGGCATAGGACATGCGCATTAAACCCACTGGACAATGCTGAGAGGATGCATCTCGGTACGGATCATGACAAGTTCGAGCCTGGAGTTTTCGATTCGTCGGTGCAGAACGTCAGCCCAGGACGGCGAAGAGCCTGCATCGGATTTTGGATGATGGTGTTTGGGACATACTTCTGCTTCAGCCGAGCGTCCATTGGGATTCGGAATAAAAACCCTCATGCTGCAATGGCCGCAAAAAAAACGTTAAGTCGTTTACAAGACTCTGGCTTGGAGGTTGCGCAGTTTCTTAATATATAGAATATGACCAGAACCCTGTTCTTAAGGCCCGTAAATGACACCTCAAAAAGTCTTGTCAGACCTTACGGACCTTACGGAACTTTTTTTGAAACTTATTGTGCTCATTGATGCACCTGAATTTACTTTATCAACCCGCTTCGGACAATGATTGCCAGCACCACAGAGTGCTTTAGTGAGTCCGAAGGATCGTGCCTCCGGTTTAGGGTTGACTTTAGACAATCGGATGTACGGTTTTTAGGCTCAGGGTTAACCTGGAGCCTCAAGCGCTACAAACCCAGACCTTCCACAATCCCTTAATCAAGGAATATACCTTAAATTATCATAGGATCCCTAATATGATTTAAGGTATATTCCTTAATTAAGGGATTTTGGAAGGTCTGGGAAGTAGAAGGTTATGGTCATGCGTATCTCTAAAGTGGCAGGTAGTTGGAGGATGTTGGAGCAACAGGTCGGGTTTTGTTTGGGTTGAATGAAAGGCAAACAAGTCCAACGCCTCAACCCGGTATCCGTAAGTCCCTACCTGGAAGAGGAGCCTGCAAACTCACACAAGGAGTTCGCATATTCTGTCGTTACTAGCGGGAGCATGACTTCCAATACCCGATGCACGCAACCATCTACACTAGCCCTCATGAATTTCTGTTGCAGGGCAGGTGCAACACAATCGGAGCCTCAATGCCTAGCCTTCATGTGATCTGATGATTTCGTTGAATTGGTTATGGAATTCACTTGATTTCAATATAAAATTCTGCCCGATCCGGAGACCGACGCCCGAACCCTTCTATAGCTTTTTACGAGTTTACAGATCCTGCATTGCAGGACAACCCTCCGACTGGGTAGGCGCTTCGCCGCAACGCATGGCACCGCAGCTCCGGCAAATCGGGTCGTGCGGCGAACTCAGAGTTAGAACCCTTTTTGTAGTCCTAGGTTCCTTATAAAGTTACCGAATACCGAAAAGAGAGGCCTTTTTATTCTTAGGTTACTGGGTATCCTAGAGCTTCTAGCCCGGAGGGTCCATATGGGAGTTTCCGAAAATGGGGCTACCTTATTTGGGGGGTCCTTATATTGAGGATCCTACTATTTAGGGTGCCATATTAGGGTCCCCTATTTTCGGAAACCCCCATATTCACATTACCATATTTTGGACTCAGGGCCCCAAAACCATAATGGGGATGCTCTTTCAAGACCTAATTTCATAATGGTAGTGTAGTGAATATTTACCGTCTGGGTAACATCTATAGGGTTCAGCGTTTGCCTTGGAGTTTCTAGGGTTGGGGCGTCGGGCTTTATGTGGGTTTTGATTAGCAAGCTTTTCCAGGTGTTGCTTCTGACCATGTGTTACCTTGGGCTCACAAGTATACAGTTCAAGTTAGGCCAGACGTAGCCCCGAACCTCCACAACGGTTTCGTAAAGGCGGTGTAGGGTTCTGCCGGGTTTTGGGTTTAGAGGGTTGTCTGGGCCTGTCAACCTTTCGAAACGGTTTTCCCTTTCCCTGAACAGTAAAGCTTACACACTCTCTCCTGGCCTCAGGGAGGCCTTCTTTGGGATCGCTCGTTCGCTTGGGATTTCAGGGAAAAAGGAGCTCAAAAAAAAAAAAGCTTACACACGACGGTTCGGGTTCAGGGACAGCGGGTAGAGATGACGGGGTTTGCTGGGGCTTTGTGAGGCTTTGGAATTTTTGGTTTCGACCCCTACGCCACTACCCAAAGGCCCCAAAGTAGTTCCTTTTTGGGGGTTCATATATAGAATCCTATAAGGTAATCCCAAGAAGGAACTTCTATGGGGCTTCTAGGTAAACCCTAAGCCCTAAACTCCGAAATTCGAAGCCCGCGGGGGAGCTCAGAGGTCATCCTTCTCTTACGCCTTACCCCGGGAGGATTCGACAGACTCCGATGGAGAATCAGATTTCAACTCAGAGGACACAGCTTCGCATAGGTTCAAAGCCCGCAAAGATGGCGGAGAGCCTTCCACCAGGATGAGTCCGATGCATTTTTGGCAGAAGACCGGCCATTCTGCAGGGAGCGACTTCGGGTTTAGGGTTTAGGGTTTAGGGATGTACCTATAGTCTCCATTGTAGTTCCTTTTTTTGGTTAACCAATTTGATGGTTAGGATCTTATTCCCGAAAGCATCGCGAAGGGTTCTTCCGTGTGGAACGCCGCAGCTGAGTACATAGATGACAGACATAGAATCAACTTACTTGACTCCATACTTTACTCTACACTCTACACTTGATACTTGACTCTACACTTGATACTTACTTACTTACTTGACCCCTATGACCCGTATGACTGACTCTCTACACTTGACACTTGACTCTATGATACTTGACTCTACACTTGATACTTGACTCTATGTTATGCTTACGACTTACTTACTTACTTACTTCAATCTACTTACTAACTTACTTGACACTTGACACTGGACTCTATGTTATGCTATCTCTATACTTACTTACTTACTTACTTGACTTGCTTACTTATACTTGCTATACTTACTATACTTAGTACTTACTGACTTACTTACTGACTCTACTTACTTACTTATTACTTATTACTTATGATTATACTTATGATTACTTACTTATGACTGTCTCTCTATGCATCTATGACTTACTATGACTTATGACTTACTCTCTACATACTATCTACATCTCGGTATCTTAATATTTCTTTTAAAGGCGGGGGTGGCACCGTCGGGGTCCATCGGGAATGCAACCCTTCCCAGGGATTCGCTGCCTCGGGCGTGCAAACGCTAGGTAAAGTGACACATTTTAGGCGCACCGCGCAACCCTTCCCAGGGATTCGCTGCCTCGGGCGTTCAAACGCTAGGTAAAGTGACACATTTTAGGCGCACCGCGCAACCCTTCCCAAGAATCGCTGCCTCGGGCGTTCAAACGCTAGGTAAAGTGACACATTTTAGGCGCACCGCGCAACCCTTCCCAGGGATTCGCTGCCTCGGGCGTTCAAACGCGAGGTAAAGTTACACATTTTAGGCGCCCGGCGCAACCCTTCACAGGGATTGGAACTCTCGGGCGTTCAAACGCGAGGTAAAGTTACACATTTTAGGCGCCCGGCGCAACCCTTCACAGGGATTGGAACTCTCGGGCGTTCAAACGCGAGGTAAAGTTACACATTTTGCGGTGCCCGCGCAACCCTTCACAGGGATTCGCCTCCTCGGGCGTTCAAACGCGAGGTAAAGTTACACTTCTTGTGGGCGCCGCGCAACCCTTCACAGGGATTCGCCTCCTCGGGCGTTCAAACGCGAGGTAAAGTGACACATTTTAGGCGCACCGCGCAGCCCTTCCCAGGGATTCGCTGCCTCGGGCGTTCAAACGCTAGGTAAAGTGACACATTTTAGGCGCACCGCGCAACCCTTCCCAGGGATTCGCTGCCTCGGGCGTTCAAACGCTAGGTAAAGTGACACATTTTAAGCGCACCGCGCAACCCTTCCCAGGGATTCGCTGCCTCGGGCGTTCAAACGCGAGGTAAAGTTACACATTTTAGGCGCCCGGCGCAACCCTTCACAGGGATTCGCCTCCTCGGGCGTTCAAACGCTAGGTAAAGTGACACATTTTAGGCGCACCGCGCAACCCTTCCCAGGGATTGGAACTCTCGGGCGTTCAAACGCGAGGTAAAGTTACACATTTTGCGGTTCCCGCGCAACCCTTCACAGGGATTCGCCTCCTCGGGCGTTCAAACGCGAGGTAAAGTTACACTTCTTGCGGGCGCCGCGCAACCATTCACAGGGATTCGCCTCCTCGGGCGTTCAAACGCGAGGTAAAGTTACACTTCTTGCGGGCGCCGCGCAACCCTTCACAGGGTTTGGGTGCAGTTCAATTTTTTTTGCAACCCTTCACAGGGATTTGCATTTTGCAACCTTTCACAGGGATTGGCGTGGTCGGGTGTTCGAACGCGAGGTAAAGTTGCAATTTTTGATTTGCATTGAAATGAATTTTGCAACCCTTCACAGGGATTGGCGTGGTGGAGTGTTCGAACGCGAGGTAAAGTTGCAATTTTTGATGAGCATTGAAATGAATTTTGCAACCCCTCACAGGGATTGGCGTGGTCGAGTGGTTGAACGCGAGGTAAAGTTGCAATTTTTGATGAGCATTGAGATGAATTTTGCAACCCTTCACAGGGATTGGCGTGGTGGAGTGTTCGAACGCGAGGTAAAGTTGCAATTTTTGATGAGCATTGAAATGAATTTTGCAACCCCACACAAGGATTGGCGTGGTCGAGTGGTCGAACGCAAGGTAAAGTTACACATTTTGCGGTGCCCCGCGCAATCCTTCATTGAGAGGGATTAGCTTCCTCGAATGTTCTAATCGGAAGGTGCACAGGTACTGTTGCATGGTCTTTGGGCGCTGCGTGTAACCCTCTGCATGGATTGGCGTGGTCCAGGGTTGAAACGTGTGTGCAAACTACTACTTGTATCCTTTCCGCCGTGCAACTCTCCACAGGGAGTGGCGTGGTCGATTGCAGGAACTTGCATCTCTGCGAGGTGCAATTGGCAACCCTTCAGAGGGATTGGCAGATGCATATATCGATAATATACTACTAGGCCTAAGGACCCATAAGCCCCTGGCGTTCCCCTGGAGTCTGTTGAATCGGCTAAGTAACATACGCTGGCCTTTTGTGGTTTGAGATGAAGAGCGAAACCCTAATTCCCGACTCCTTTCAGAGACCAGTGTTGCGGCTTCCGTTTGGGGATGTTTGTCAGCTGCCGCTATGTTTCTTCTTCCATGATACTATACCCCTATACCCTGGCTTGGTATAATGCGTGCTATGGAGGCTCGGGGCTCCCGACGAACCTTTGCAACTACACTCAGCCATTTTCACGAGGCTCCGGACCACCGTAATCCCTGGGATGACCTCTCCCGGCACCTCCTCAGGCCGCCTCTCCGATGCCGGTCTTTGGGACGTTGCTTGCTTGCTTCGACGCTGTCTTGCGAAAGAGCAGGCAAGCAACGACGCCGCCACGAGAAGAATGTGCGTGTGTGTAA